TGATGAAATTCATCCTAGAATACTCAAGGAGCTGACTGAGGAGGTATCTGAGTCTCTAGCGATTATCTCTGAGAAGTCACGGAAGACAGGAGAGATTCTAGAAGACTGGAAAAGGGCAAATATAGGGCCCATCTATAAAAAGGGAAATAAGGACAACCCAGGGAATTACAGACCAGTCAGCTTAACTTCTGTACCTGGAAAGATAATGGAGCAAATATTTAAGCAATCAATTTGCAAACATCTAGAAGATAATAAGGTGATAAGTAACAGTCAGCACGGATTGGTCAAAAACAAATCATGTCAAACCAACCTGATAGCTTTCTTTGACAGGGTAACAAGCCTTGTGGATGGGGGGAAGCAGTAGACATGGTATATCTTGACTTTAGTAAAGCTTTTGATACTGTCTCGCATGACCTTCTCATAAATAAACTAGGGAAATGCAACCTAGATGGAGCTACTAGAAGGTGGGTGCAAAACTGGTTGGAAAACCATTCCCAGAGAGTAGTTATCAGTGGTTCACAGTTATGCTGAAAGGGCATAACGAGTGGGGTCCCGGTGGGATCAGTTCTGGATCTGGTTCTGTTCAATATCTTCATCAATGATTTAGATAATGGCATGGAGAGTACACTTATAAAGTTTGTGGCCAATACCAAGATGGGCGGGAGGGGGTTTGCAAGTGGTTTGGAGTATAGGATTAAAATTCAAAATGATCTGGACAAATCAGAGAAATGGTCTGAAGTAAATAGGATGAAATTCAACAAGGACAAATGCAAAATACTCCACTTAGGAAGGAACAATCAGTTGCACACATACAAAATGGTAAATGACTGTCTAGGAAGGAGTACTGCGGAAAGGGAAGTGGGGGTCATAGTGGACCGCAAGCTAAATATGAGTCAACAGTGTAACGCTGTTGCAAAAAAAGCAAACATAATTCTGGGATGCATTAGCAGGAATGTTGTAAGCAAGACCTGAGAAGTAATTCTTCCGCTCTACTCCATGCTGATTAGGTCTCAGCTGGAATATTGTGTCCTGTTCTGGGCGCCACATTTCAGGAAAGATGTGGACAAATTGGAGAGAGTCCAGAGAAGAACAACAAAAATGATTAAAGGTCTAGAAAACATGACCTATGAGAGAAGATTGAAAATATTGGGTTTGTTTAGTCTGGAAAAGAGAAGACTGAGAGGGGACATGATAACAGTTTTCAAGTATGTAAAAGGTTGTTACAAGGAGGAGGAAGAAAAATTGTTTTTCTTAACCTCTGAGGATAGGACAAGACGCAATGGGCTTAAATTGCAGCAAGAGAGGTTTAGGTTGGACATTAGGAAACATTTTCTAACTGTCAGGGTGGTTAAGCACTGGAATAAATTGCCTAGGGAGGTTGTGGAATCACCATCACTGGAGATTTTTAAGAGCAGGTTAGACAAACACCTGTCAGGAATGGTCTAGATACTTAGTCCTGCCATGAGTGCTGGGGACTGGACTAGATGACCTCTCAAGATCCCTTCCAGTTCTAAGATTCTATGAATTTATTGAAATACCACCTTGAATACTAGCTATGCAGAATTAGATACTGTGTAATTTGTATTTGTTTTACGAGCAATCAGCTCTGCAAACACCATTCATACAGGCCTGTACAGTTGTTCATTGCTGTAGCAAGCAATAGAACCTGCATACAGTTTCCTTGTAGACCTGCATAGTGGTCATCTATCCCTCATGTATCCAACTCCACATACCCTCTAGAGTGCTGGATTTGGGCGTGCATATATTTGGGATTTTGTAATTTAGTGTCTCTACTGGTCATTGACTTTGTGAAATTAGAGGTAATATCATTGTTAAATTCCAAGAACTCCAAGAGAGAGATGGTGGGTGTGCTAATATCTTTTATTGGACCAACTTCTGTTAGTGAAAGAGACAAGCTTTTGAGCTCCACAAAGCTCTCCTTCACTTGTCTCTTTCACCAACAGCAGTTGGTCCAATAAAATATATCACTAGCCCATCTTGTCACTCTCATATCCTGGGACCAACAGCCTCAGATGGGTAGAACAATAGTGCAAAGAACTCCAAGAACATGTAGTCTAGTGGGAGGCATATTAAAAGAACAGTGCACTATTTAGAATGTAGAATTGTTTTATTTAATCTTATGCAGTGTTAGGCTGTTCCCCTAAAATTTAATTTGTAGTTTAGCCCATGAGTATAGTGCTTATTCCCAGAAGGTATATATCAAAACAGATAGGGATACTATTTTTAAAAAGGTTGATGAAAAGAACAATAGCTGGAAATTATTTTGTGATTATGTAAATATAATAGCCATCACTTGGGTGGGTTTTTTTTTTCAAGAGATTCAACAAAATTGTAGAAGAAAAGGTAAATGGCACATGAAATGAAATGAAACTGTTCTTTATTCATACAATTTGCTCTACCATTACATTCAATCCTTTGCTTTATGTTGCTTAAAAACAGTAGTCATTGAAATTAGACCTTTGTAGATAACAATCAATTTATTAAATGCTGTGTCTTAAAATAGCAACATTACCTATGGACACGATATATGTGAAAAGTCCGACCTTGCACAGCATGATGTGTCTTCTTTTTTTCAGCAGAACTCCTATTGCTCAGAAACATTTTAAATCCCAGTGGATATGGGAAAGTTGCTAAGGTAACCAAGGTTTGGATTTAAGAAGTAGGAAAAACCAATCAATAATTTATCTGGAAAATAACCATTACAACTTTTGGAGTCAAGTACATACAATGTAATCATGTCATGATAATTTGACTTCTAGGAATCAAGACATCTAATCACAATTAACAATAATTTTTTTGTCAATAGGAATAAATTCTTGTAGCTCATGGATTAAATTAGCTAGGAAACTGTGACTAAAGTATTGCTTAAAAGATTTAAACTAGGGAGAATTGATTAAAAGAGAGGGTAATTTATTTAACAGGGTGGAATGAAAATATAATCAAGTCAATGATAAACTGAAATAACTATACTTAAAGCTTCAGTTGGAAGTGCTGAACACAATAGAAGGCTAGTTCAAAGAAAGATTTTTTTATAGTGTTTTTGTATTTAGCTTTTTGTTTTTGCCTATTAACATTTTAGGCCATGATTCTATAAACACTAGAACTACTTATGTGCTAAAAGTTAAGTACATGCATAAGTGCCTGCAGTATTGGGGGCCCTATTTTAACAAAGGCAAACTTAAGGCATATATTTCTAAAACATAAACATTAATAAATATTTGTTTCTTGTCCTCAGAGTTAGATTTAATTAATCTAGTCATAAAGATGAGCAGGCAAACCATCAACATTTCTCCCTATATATCAAAATGTGTCTTTCATGTACCTTGGCAGTGATGGTGAAATGATTTTTTTCACTTGTTAAAACAGTCTTCAATGCAGATGAATGAAAAGGAGATGAAATGTTTAAAAATAAGTCAGGTATATTTTCCTCATGGTTGAAGATTATGGCCAGGGTCATCACACGCCAAATGCAAAGTGACCTTAAAGCTGGTACAGTTGTTCATGGGAATATAACCCGCGTGTGGGATATACACTAATAATATAGAGATGGTGTGAGAGTGCCTGCATCACACTTATGGCTGATACAGAGGTTGTGGTTGGGAAATAGAGATACGGCCAAGATTTCCCTACATCTTGCTGATCCCCAGTTGCTATATTGGCCCATTGGGGGGATTTACAGTCAGCATAAATTACATTGGCCTTCACACTACTTTTAATTTACATTGAAGGAGTTGTCTGGCACACAGCTGGCCCAGCACTGGGAATTGCAGAAGTGGTTTAAAGGTGAGGCTCTGAATTTATATGTTATTTTAGCTTTTAACTAGGGGATTTCTGGTGTATGAGTCTGTGTTGTTATTAAAAGTGAACTGCAAAGCAGAATGTTTTTGTCCTTTCATACTTCTGTATGATGTATAAAGACTGGTCAAACTTTATTTCTGCTTTTCCTTTTTAAATAGTAGAAATGTTAGTTTCTCACTTCCTACTTTCTGCTGGAGGATCTCAGGAAGATTTTTGGAGGCAGTGATGCACAGTGATGTCTCAAGAAGCTGCAATCTGAGTTGTAGTCGTCCCTCTCCAACCTATATGAAAGTGTAGAGGTGCTAATTCATAGGTAGCATAAGACTCGGCGTCTCCTATCCTCTCAGGCTTTTTCTATGTTGGAAAACTCTTACTGGTATGATTAAGATCAATTGAAGAAATTGAGCATTTTCTTTTTTAGTTGTCTTTGGATCTGGCATATGAGGACCCAATATTTCCAATATTAAAAACTAGTAGAGAAATTTAAAATAAATAAATACAAATAAAAAGAAATACAAAAATTGGACGCAATCATTCTACATCAAAAAGAAGCAGTCAAGAGCACAGAGCCAAACTTTTACTTTTTAGTTCATCTTTAAAATAAGAATATTCATTCTTAATTATTCTCAGTATCCTATATATGACTGAAATATATATAATTAAACTTGTTGACTTTACATGAAGAGTACTATACAAGTCAGAATCATATTAGAAGACAATAGTGATAATTATTGCTTAACTTTCAACATGGTGTTCTGAATGAGGAGGAAGGAAGTGGTTATATTTGTTGTGTTTCCCAGTTCTAGGAAAACATGACAGTGAGGATGTAGTATAAGACGTTAACTAAAAATAGAAGAACTTTTTTTTTTAACTGTGAGAGTAGGAGAAGATTATCTGCAATTTTGTGTATTTTATGTATTTAGGGCATCTTTGCTGTGTTACATGTTTTTCTTGACCTTGGCCTTGTTTCATATTATTTGGTATATAATTTCATTGTTTTAGATTTGTTATTTGCATATATATTTAAAAATTATGACTATATAGGTTATTTAAAAAAATAATGTATTCCACTTCACTTTTGCATGATTACTAGCATGTCAACCTTGATATACTTTCCCAGTAATAGAGTTTATTTGTTAAACCGATTCCTTGTTAAAATACAATCAGATTTTTTGCATTCGCATTATAATTTCCCCATAAATAGAATTTCAGTCTTTTTGCAGTACATGTTTTATAAACCTATGTTATACTGGAGAATCATTTAACCAATTAGAAGAATATATTGTTCCTCACTATAATTTCTTTGAGTCTCCAGCCTATAATTTATATGTAATTTAACATGTAGCAGACATTTGGGTTTCTTCTCTTTTCCTGCACCATTCTTATTGTCCCACAGGTTTAGATACCGTTCCTTAAATAGGAACATGCCTCAGTGTGTTTTCTTTACAAAATAGCCCTGTTTGCTGTTATAGTAAAAGTGTTTGTTTATCCCATTTGCTATAAATAGTTGTAGTCACCATTCACTCCTATGGCTCTGTCAGAATACCACCTCTGTTGTTATAACTTCTGACTACTAAAACTGTGCATCCCACCCTGTGATAAAGTAATTGCCAGCTTGTTTCCCACGTGCATTTTTAAAGATATCTGATTTTGCTGACCCATATTATACAATAAAATGTCTCTTTTCTTCAGTTGTAAGCTTTTTATTTTGTTGAAGGGACGTTTAAATTTAGATTTAGGCTGGAACTGGTGAAAACAGCTTATTTATGTTCATTTGGTTTTGGTTTACGTTTGCTCTATGAAGCTCATTCATTCATCCACAACAGTCAAGTATGACTAGGAATGATTGCCTGCCACATTAGTTTCCAGGCTTTAGATTTGTGCTATACATTTGAAATGAAGACTTGTGAGTTTTGGTGGAAAAATCAGGTACCTAATGAGAGCCATTGTGTTAGACAGATAAATATATTTTACTGTGTAATTAAAAAATAACCCAACAACTATCAACCAGGGAAAAAGAAAAGAAAACAAATAAAAAACCACCCATTCCTTTATAAAGAAAATTATGTCTTATGAGGAATAGTAATATCATAATGTACTAAGGGTGAAATTCTGACTCCATTGAAATCAATGGGATTTTGCCATTGACTTTAACGGGGCCAGGATTTTACCCTAGGACAATGCAGAAAAACATTGGGATCAGGAATGAGGTTATTGTACGGTGGTGAATGAGGGAGGGGGTATAGAAATGTAAAATATGGAATCAGAGTTTGCACAGTGCCTAGCACAATGGATTCCTGGCCCATGACTATATTTCTATAGTCTCTACAGAAATAATAAATAAATTAATAATGTGATTGAGTAGAGAGACCTGTATCTTATTTATGCTTCTGCCAGTGACCATGGGCAAGAGACATAACTTTTTTGCACTTCATTTTTGCATCTACAAATGGAGATGAGACTTACTTACCCACCTTTGTAAGGTGCTTTGAGATCCTGTAATGAAAGGAGCTGTATAAGTACAAACATATTATTTATTATGGAATTCACTTATCTGTGAAAAATGTCCATGCAAAGAGCTATAGTACTGAGACAAACTTGAAGAGAACAACAGTCTGGAACTTATGTTATACTATATTACATTAGTAAATTTTGAACTGATCCTGCAAGCCTTTTCTTACATGAGTAATACTTATTTATGGGAATAGTCTCATTGCTAGAAATCCAGTGAATTTAGAAATCTACTCTGGGGTTTATTAGATATAAAAACTCCTCTCCTTTAACTTTTCCCACCTGGGAGGGTGAGCATGAGGGACTATGCCGCCTTTGGAGAGGGAGCTTATGGCAACATGGCTCATGAGTGAGCTTTACTACACAAGGAGAGGCTGGATCTTCAGGAGTGGACCTAGATTTTCATGTGACACTTTAGGTTTCACACAGCTTAAAGTGGTTATTGCCTTGTTATGGTTGAAATTAGGGTATGGAGAAGTGGTTCTGAGCCTTAGAGGCACAGCCCTCTAGAGTCTCTCAGCAAGAGCTGATCTACTTAATTATATCACTAGATCTTTGTAAATTTAGCCAAATTTAAGAAATTATGATAAATGTTTCCTTTATTCCCAAAAAATTCCAAGAAAGAAAAGTGTATGTTGGTTTTCATTAAGAAAAAGTAGCTAATTGGTGGACAGTTTCTTTATATAACTCTAGGCCTTATAGTACTGGTCATGGTCACTGCAACAATCAAACGAGAGAGCATCAAAAGTAGCTAGTTGGTGGGCAGCCCAAGTGACTAGCTAAGAATGTTAATACAATCAAACAAGCGGTTCTGTTAGCTCCCCCTTCTTCAGCACCCTGCAACAAATCCTCTGTGGGCCCATTAGACTCCAATGTATCCCTTAGGGATGTGCGGGACCATAATACAGAAAAGGTCTTGTACAGAAATGTCAAGATTGCAGATTCTCAGTTGGGAGCCACCATTTATGAATTTTACATTTCCAGAGCATCCATAGAATGAATCTCACCTCTATAGTCAGATAAAGTAGTTCCCTATGGAATCTCACTAGCTTCTTTCTAAGTCAATTATTGCCATCTAAACTCTTAATGACTTTACTCAGGATTTCATTAAGTTGGAAGCAAATCTAATTAGCTCCTTGGTGTTACCAGGAGAGCCCCGTAGCTCTGCCTGGTCCAAAGATTTCAGTGACAAGATAAAATTGATGTCTCCACCTTTCAAGGACACCTGACATTTAGGGGACATAAATGCTGTTAGACTCTGTTCTAAAGGAATCCTTGCAAACAAAGCCATACTCTTAGCGGATTCCCCCTCTAGCTTGCTGTAGCTCCTTTGGGCACTTGTGGCCTAATTTGTCAATGTAAAGTGCCCTGTGAGGGACAGACCATCAAAACTCAGGTTCCCCCCCGCTCTCATTCTTTTAATAAATTAGGACAAGCTGCTCAACCATCCAGTCAGTTCAAGCAGACAGGTAACACATCCCGCTTCTTCCTCCAGCTCATTCTTAAGAGGAGGTAGGAAGTTCAGAGTCAATACAGAATGGCTGTTTTTTACATAAGGAAAGGGTTTTCTTTCTGGAAGCATTCCTCTCTCTCCCCTATTGCTCCCAGCCCCAGAATAATCTCCTCAGCAATAAAGGTTTCCTTCCTAGACATCATTCAACATCTCCTAAAAATAGTGCTTTAGAGAGAAACTTGAGAGAGCAAGAATTTAATGGTGTTTATTTCAGTTCTATTAGATCTGAAATGGCTGAATTAGTGAGTATACAATCAGAATGTAAATATGGTAAAGGGACTCAGTTCTGTATGGGTATATATGATGTAGGGTGTGTTCAGGGTGAACGCACTGTAATTTTTCAATGGAGAGGAGGTAGCCTCTCCCTGTGAGAAAGTGACAGGAGGTGGCCCCTCCCCTCAGAGAAGGGAAAGTGACAGAGGAGAAGATGGGGGTGGAGGTTTCTGAAGCTGCGTGAGTGTGAGCCCTGACAAAGGCCCTGCTTATCACACCCCTACTTTTTACCTCCCAGTTTAGGGCAAGCCCTACTTCCAAATGGGCAGAGCAGCAAAGATGACATATAACATAGTTTTATTAGTAACTTTTATAACATGAAAACCTGAAGAAGAGCTCTGAGTAAGCTTGCAAACTTGTCCCTCTTTCACCAACAGAGATTGGTCAATAAAAGCTATTACGTCAAACACCTTGTCTCTCTAGTATTCTGGGACCAGCACAGCTACAACTACACTACAAATCATAGACGTTCTGTGGCGGGAGATGTGGGATAGAGGCAATAATCCACAATAGGTTTGTGACAGGACAGCCATGTGTAAATATCCAATTTATAATTTTGTATTCAACTTTTGAGGCTTTATGTCATTTCTATATGATTATCTTGCACTGGTGTTTTTTGAACAACTCAAAAATTTTTGCTTAGTTCATGCATTCAGATTTGGATTTCCAAATTTTTTTTGAAGTGGCCGAGGAGGACAAGGCCATTTTGAAAATGTCATTATTGGATCATTAGGACTGATGGCGGGACAGGAGTGGGATGGTCAATGAGGATGTTGTTTACAGTCCATACTTGTCTGGAGGTGAGATGAAGGATGAGGCAGACCCAAACTGGTTTTGAGGAAGGAGATAGCAGATGGACTTGTAGAGTTAGTGCTAGGAGGGCCAAGGGCATTGTCGCAGCTGCAACGACAGTGTTTTCAGTCTATAGCAAAGCCGCACTGCAATGGTACAATGACCTAATGCAGCATGCAGCGGTGATGAGAGTAGCTCCAAGCAAGTGCATTTGCTAGACATAGTAAATGTATGAATATATGTTTTGAAATTGCATATGCCGAGACTTTCCCCAACCACTCCTGAGCCAAGTCATTATAGTTGGTTCATTTCTGGTAGACATTGTGGCAGAAGTCAATACTGAAGGAAGAGAAGATAGTCATAGCAGATGGAACACAGGTATGATGTCCCATGCACTGTTGCAGAAACTTTTGCATGTGGACACGAAGGCTCAGATCTAACAGTGTATTAGGGACGGTTAGGGCCAGGACTAAGAAACAACCAGTATGTGCCCATAGGCCATACCAGCATCACTTTGAAGCTATGGTCTTGTTCCCTAGAGTCTCAGATTTCATTTGATAGAAGAAATAAGTGTCTAGTCTTATGGTTGCAAAGAAAACTTCAACAATGTGAATCACGTGTAACTGCAGAGACATCTGTGTGAGGACTGATCTACACTGGGAACTTACACAGGCATAGCTATGTCTCTCAGACCTTGTCTACACTTAGGATATGTCTATACTAGAGAGCTTACAGTGGCACAGCTGTACCAATGCAGCTGCGCCGCTGTAAAATCTCACAGGTAGCCGCTTTATGTTGGTTGGAGAGAACTCTTCCATCAACATAATTAAACCACTCCCAACGAGTGGCCCCAGGCACCCCCAATGTGAAGCTCTCCTGCTGACATAGCATAACTTATGTTGTTTGAGGGGTGTATTTTCACATCGCTGAGTGACATAAGTTTTGCTGACATAAGTGGTAGTGTAGACATGGCTGTAGAATGCTGCAGCAGTGTCACAGTAGCGCTTCAGTGAAGACACTACCAACACTGATGGGAGGGCTTTTCCCGTTGGCATAGGTAATCCACCTCCCGAGAGGTGGTAGCTAGGAATTTTCCCATCGACATAGAGCTGTCTACACTGGGGGTTATGTCAGTTTAATTGCATAGTGTATTTTTCACACCCCTGAGTGACACAGTTATACTGATCTAATTCCTAGTGTAGACCAGGCCTAAGGGGTATGAAAAATCCAGATCCCTGAGAGACGTACTATGCCATCCTAACCCCCAGTGTAGACAGTGCTAGTTTGATGGAAGAATTCTTCCATTGACTTAGCTACCTCCTTTCGGGGAGATGGATTACGTACACCAGTGGAAGAATGCCTCACATCGGTGTAGGCAGTGTCTACACTGAAGTGCTACAGTGGTGCAGCTGTGGGAAGGCAGCTGTGCCACTGTATCGGTTTAAGTGTAGACATACCCGGAGTCTGCAGTGAGCCTGAAACCATAATCCAGAGAACTGTGCACTTATAGACTTATAGACTTATAGACTTTAAGGTCAGAAGGGACCATTATGATCATCTGGTCTGACCCCCTGCATGCTGCAGGCCACAAAACCGTCCCTACCCTTCCCTTGACTCTGCTGATGAAGTTCCAAATCCTGTGTCTTGGTGACTTCAATTTGCAGAGAACCCTCCTGCTAGCGATCCCTGCCCCATGCTGCAGAGGAAGGCAAAAAACCTCCAGGGCCTCAGCCAATCTACCCTGGAGGAAAATTCCTTCCCGACCCCAAATATGGCGATCAGTAAGACCCCGAGCATGTGGGCAAGAGTCTCCAGCCTGACCCTTGTTAGTCATTATACTATTTACCTGCTATTGCTCGGTATTCCCCACCAATTATGTTTTACCATTAAACCATTCCCTCCATAAACTTATCTAATTTAATCTTAAAATCAGACTGTCCCATTCATCTCAATAAGCTGTTAATGCAGCTGCCAAGTGATGATCATTTTAATGTCAACATTGTTAACTATTTTAGGATAACAGGTCTGCACAATTTAGTGTGGTTTTGTCTTCAATGCAAAAAAGGTTTGTTTTTGCTACAAGAATAGCTAAAGTACATTAGCTAGCCAGCTGTAAAAATCAATTTGTAAGCCTCTAAAGGGAAATAAGGTCATAAATAATAGCCAACATGGATTTGTCAAGAACAAATCACGGCAAACAAAACTGATTTCCTTTTTTGATAGCGTTACTGACTTTGTGGAGGTGTGGGGGGAAGCAGTAGACATGATATATTTTGATTTTAGGAAGGCTTTTGACATAGTCCCACATGACTTTCCCATAAGCAAACTAGGAAAATGTGTTCTAGATGAAAGTACTATAGGGTGGGTCCACAACTGGTCAAAAAACATACAGTTGAGTAATTATCTAAGATTCACTGTCAAACTGGCTGGATTTATCTAAAGGGGGTCCCACCAGAGTTTGACCCGGGTTCGGTACTATAATATTTTCATTAGTGACTTAGATGATAGAGAAGAGAATATACTTACAAAATTTGCGGATGACACCAACCTGGGAGGGGTTGCAATCACTTTAGAGGAGAGGATTAGAGTTCAAAATGATCTTGATATACCAGCGAATTGGTCTGAAATGAATAAGATGAAATTCAGTAAAGCAAGTGCTAAGTATCACATTTAGAAAGGAAAAAATCAAATACACTAATATAAAATGGGGAATAACTGGCTAGACAGCAGTACTGCAGAAAAGGATCTGGACGTTATAGTGGATCATAAATTGAATATGAGTCAACAATGTGATGCAGTTGTGAAAAAGGCAAATGGCATTCTGAAGTTTATCAACTGGAGTGTGGTATGTAAGGCATCAGAAGGAATTTTTCCTGCTCTATTCAGCAATGGTGGGACCTCAGCTGGAGTACTGTGTCCAGTTTTGGGTGTCATGCTTTAAGAAAGATGTGGACAAATTGGAGAGCATCCAGAGGAGAGCAACAAAAATGTTAAAATTTTAGAAAACCTGACCAATGAGAAAAGGTTACAAAAATTGGGCATGTTTAGTCTTGAGAAAAGAAGATTGGGAGGCAGTGGGGGGAACGGACCTGATAATCACCTTCAAGTATGTTAAGGGCTTTTATAAAAAGGAGGATGATCAATTGTCCTCCATGTTCACTGAAGGTAGGACAAGAAGTATTGAGCTTAATTTGCAAAAAGGGAGAGTTAGGTTGGATATTAGGAAAATCTTTCTAACTATAAGGATAATTAAGTACTGGAATAGGTTACACCAAGGAAGTTACGGAATCCTCATCATTGAAGACTTTTAAGAACAGGTTAGACAAACATCTGTGAGGGATGGTCTAGGTATATTTGATCCTGCCTCAGAGTGGTTGGGGAGTGGGGTTTACTGTGAGGTAAACTAGGCAAGGTCAACCACAGAAAGGAATATAGTGTTGATCTTGCCTAGCCACTTTATGGTAACAACTACAATGTCTTGTCTGCATTAGGATTTTACAGCACGGTAGCTAATGCACATTAGTTATCCCACTTTTTGTTTTTGCAGTAAAGACAAGGTCCATGAGCACTGTCTGTTTGTACCAGCATATTATATACTGGCAAAGTGCTCCTAATGTGGATGCATCTTATACCTGCAAAAGTGTGCTTTTGCCCGTATAGCTTATTCCACCCACTCCAAGCAAAACAAGCAATATTGGTAAAAGTCCAGTTTTGCCTGTTTAACTAAGCACATCCCTCAGCCCGCTCCGCTTCCCGCCGCCCCCATTGGCCCGGGACGGCGAACCGCGGCAAGTGGGGGCCGCGATCGGCCAAACCTGCCACGTCAGCAGGTAAATAAACTGGCCCGGCCCACTAGGGTGCTTACCCTGGCGAGCCGCGTGCCGAAGATTGCCGACCCCTGGCCTAGAGATTGCAGTGGTCTCTAAGCAATAGGCAATTTTACATACCACATGCTGCAGTAACTATACGCAAGGCTAAAGATGGAATTTCAGATTCAGGTTTGAATTTTCTGACTTCTGGGCTTGTCAGCACTTAATGTAAGACTTTTGTAAATATTTCCATTGTGCTAGTCACTTTGAAGATTTTGATTGATTTATCTCTCATGATAAGTGTGATTTAATTTCCTTAGAAAGGTATATAAAATAGTAATTTGCACAGCTTCCTTGCTATGCCAATGTTTTTATTGGCTTTTTTAAAGGCTAGTATTGCTTTCAGCCACTTTTGCATACCATACTTTTGAAGCATACTGTGATTTATTCCAGCTGTTTATGATATATTGGATCACAGTATATGTAGCTGCTTCTACAACTAAATGAACACTTCAAAAGTACTCTTTCAGTTTGCCTCAGAGTATACACAAGGGATAAATAGCAGCTGTATTGTAGGCTGATGAATGATGAGACCAGAGCGCATTTTATTGCAACTAATCATCTCTGAATATAACCTGAAGTAAATTATTTCTATTTTTATATCTTTAAAAATAGTATTTGGCGAGTCTGAGGGAAATTTTTATCTCAGTGAATTTTTTTATTTTTGTGGCAGGGACCTTTAAATATATAAATGCCAACTTTGGACTAGACTGTGCATGGCCCCTTTGTGAGTGCATAGGGCAGCTTTCCTCACTAGCATCCTTTGCACAATGCCAGTGGTCAGGTGGCACTAACACTGGGGAAATCACCTGTATCTCTTCTACTATGGGGAAGTCCCCCAGCAATTGGCATAGCCACCTCTTGTATCATTCTCTACAGAGGGTGCTGAAGGCAGAAATGGGGTGTAACTAAAGTGCTTGGCCCTCTAGCTATCTCCAGCTGGCGAATGGTCCCTTGGAACTGCTGCCAACTTCCTTAAGTTAGAGCAGGCCCTAGATTAGTGCAGACAAAGTAGGGCAGAGCCGTGCAAAGAACTGGGGAGCTGTAACTGGCTCCCTTATGGCCATTCCTCCCTGCTGTACTGAGCAGATGTCAGCTACAGCAGAGAAACTTGATCTTAGTTGTTTCCTTATTCCAGTCTCAAGATGCTTTTGGTATTTAGGAACTTCTTTTTTGTTTGGGAGCAATACATCCTGCCCCATCCCTACAAACACTTGTTTGACAGAATACAGGAACAGCTCAGGTGAGACAGTTACAGAATGAAAACTGCATTACAATTATGTATGCTCAAGAACATAAACAACCAAGCATTCCATTTTTGTGTGTGTGCAGTGATTCATAGTCTATGGAGATAGAACCACTTAGTGCTTGCTTTCACTTCATGCCCACTTTGTATCATTTCCTCACATTACTTCAACTGCAGAGGGTTGCTAGATGAGTTCACAACTGCTTTCTGATCTGAAAATAGACTATTCAATACAAGTCTTCATTTTTTTAGACATGTTGGACATGTTATGCTTGCTATACAGTGTAACAGCACACCATACCTAAATGACCAGAAAACAGGCTCCCTGCTGATAGAATAAAGTGATTTAAGTTGTTTTGAGTTAGGTGTCCGGTATTAGTTCACACTGCGGCTTTCCCAGCTGAAATAACACAACACACTGGTGCTACTTGGCCACTCTTTATTACTAGTCCAAGAATTTGCAACAAAGAGGACCAATAGTTTGGTATCCAACTAAGATCTATCTATCTATTACAGTATCCATGGTACTTAGAGTGCCGATTGCTGAAATATCTAGGTGCTAAATTCTCTCTCTCAGAAATGTGAGTGGATTAAAATACCTTTATATGGTATGAAAGATTACATCAGAATTGTACAGTGTTTTCTGTAATTCTAAAATTAATTTGGAAAAATAATGTGAGGATATTACAGGGCTTAGGCTCTGGCTCTGCTCTTACTCATTTGGCTCCTGCAAAGATCATTGTATGAGCTGAGTCAGTAGACAAATATTATTCATACAGGTATTATTCCATCATCATATGGTAATTTATCATGAGTTGGACTGATTCAAAAGTGAAAGTCCCAGTTTATATGGACTATTGCGCAGTGTTATTCCTGTTTTCACAACTATGTAGATTCACACAATAAACCTGCAGAAGGCATAAGGTAGATATCTATGCTTATTCCATATATTAAATTTATCTTTTCCAAGCACTTTTCTCCAAGAGTCTTAGTACTGAAATTCTGGCAAAGGATATTCTGTACTATAGTTAAAGGAAAAAAAGCAGAACTAGGCAGCCCAGTTTGGTGAACTAATCCAAACCACCTTTATATACAATATTATTAACTCTTGACAATTTTCCCTTTAAAATAAAAGTTCATTGACCCTAACAAAACATTTTTGATGGATTTAATGAAAGCTTAACATATATTTTTATGAATGTGACTGGAGCCAGATAAAGACAAAGGCCAGGGATCTCAAACTCAAATCACCACGAGGGACACATGAGGACTAGAACATTGGCCAGAGGGCTGCATCACTGAAACCTTTTCATACAACGATACAAAAGTATAGTAAAAAATGAAGAGTAATATGGTATGCTATTAAAAGTCAATGTATTAACTTTTTAAAAACTGTAATGCAAAGAGGAGTTTTAATAAACACCTGTAACTATTGCTTATGTGGTCAGTAACACTGATGATCTACACTAACAGTCTATCAACATAGCTGTAATGGCAGGAACTTTTTAAAGTAACTATTCATACAAAATACATTGCCACTTTTAACAAACATTCTTCCCAACTACTCACAGCAAAGAATCATACATGCTGAACTTCATACCTCAGACTGCTCATCTAGTCCATGAGGCCCCGCCCCTACCCTGCCCCCTCCCTGCCCTTAGTCCAATCCCTTCCTCAAATCCCCACCCCAGCCCCGCCTCTTCTCCGCCTCCTCCCCTGAGCGCACCGCATCCCCATTCCTCCCCCCTCCCTCCTGGAAAGTCCTAAATGCCACCAAACAGCGGGCCGCGTGTTTGAGACCCCTGACATAGGCACTACAGGCCAGTGCCTATGGCTCCTGCTCCTAGAATCATATTTGAGATCATAGTTTTCGCTTTCATGATAAAAAAACCCCAAATCAATTCAAATAAAAACAAACACTTCTAGACATCATGGTTGTGAAGAAAAGTTTGAAAATCAGAACAGAGTGTAAGACCTTGTCAACATGGGAATGCTTTTTCAGTGTAGCCGAAGGTGTCAGTTTAAGTGCTACAGCTCTACTGGGATAATTCTCCATGCAGACATTGGTATTCTGGTGTAAAATTGCCTTTTTTTTCAGTTTAGTTTATGTTACCTGGGGAGGAGTTTAATCTAAACAACAACAAAACCCTCATAATGGAATAAGTGTTCACACAGGGCGGGGGTATGTAAGTGTGAGAAAGAGAGCTAGAGCGATGCTGGTATAATTTTACTAGTATAACTAGTAAAACTTTCCCATCTAGCTAAGGGCTAACTGATGTCTGCTTGAGCGTGCAGTTGGCCTGAAATAATAGCTACAACTAAATGAACACTTCAAAAATGGGGAGGAAGGTGCTCTGGTAGGACCTTTATGTCACATGTTACCAATAGCTACTTTAATTGACAGACTTGAAGGAGATATTACTTTAAAATAATCTGTTATATGTAGTTCTAGGAGGGTGCTGTTCCTGGGGGAAGACAGAAGAGTAGTTTCCAGACAAGAAGCCTA